TAAACACATTTGTTTAAACATGTTTGAAGGTGCGGAAACGTTCCTTTTGACCCTTGCTGGGAGGGGGGGCCATGTGGGAGGCCCTGAAGAGGCCTATTGGGAGGCCTGGAAGGGAAATGTGTAAACACATTAGTTTTTAAACATGTTCAAACGTTCTTTTTGAATTTGCTGGGAGGGGGCCATGTGGCAGGCCAATGAGGCCTATTGGGAGGCCTGGAAGGGAGTGTTTCAACAAATGTGTTTAATCATGTTCAAGGGATCTCGTAATTGTGCAACCCCACCGCGAAAGATTGTGACTCGGTCCCATACCCAAATAGCCCAACGCGTTCACACACAAATGTTTAAACATATGCTGCTCACAAATGTTTCACCATATGGGTTTAAACCGTTAAAACCTGTTAGGGCTACCAGCGGCATATGTTTAAACATTTTTGTGTTTAAACATTTTTGGTTTAAACCGTTTAAACATGTTGGGGCCACAGGTGTCATATGTTTAAACACTTTTGTGTTTAAACACTTTTGGTTTAAACCGTTTAAACACTTCCCCCTGCCAAATTGAAATAACTATCACCACCATCACCACCATCACCACCATCACCATCAGACTTACACCATTGCCGTCAGGCCCACGCACAAGCAAGCTCGGGACGAGCGCTGATGGATTTTGTGTTTTACTGTCCATAGTGCTGAACGCGCTGCCCCAGCACCAGCATGCTTTAACAGTGTCCAAACACTGCTCATGGAACCCAGGTACCTGCTGGTGTGAAAGCAGTCCAAACAACACTTGCCATGTTTCAAGCGTCAGTCATCCTCCCATATTAGATGGCCCAACCATAGGCTGTTTAGAACTGCATCAACAGATGACACGACGGCCTTGCAAACAGGGGCCAAGGAGTTGGGTTTCGCAAGTGGACAAGACTGACACTCCTTTTCAGGACTTTAAGCGTGCATAGGGCACCTTGAGTTGATCATTCAGTTGTGAAAATGACACTGCCCCAGGGCAAAGCTGTGATTGCCATGCGTGTTTGTTGTTTAGGGCCAGGTGTCTGTCAAAAGTTTGTTGAGTATGTGTTGTATCTTCATGTCATGCCGTATCCTGATTCCTGAGCTATCTTAGAACGTCGTATGAGGCATTCAATTTGCTCTTACGCGTATTCTGGGCTTTGACGGGTAGCGCTAGCTCGTTGAAGTGCAGGACCAATACAAACTGCGCACTGCACAGGGCTGATGATCTATCAGCCCCAAAGTTGAAAGCGTTAAAGTAAATCTTGATCGTACCCACTTCTAGCCTAAGGACCGCCAGCTGCTACTGCCCCAGCTGCAAGCAAACATCAAGACAAATGGATTGGAGGACCACTTTTTTGCTGGTCAATGGCCGCCCTCGTTGGTTGCTGTATGTGAGAAGCCTGCAGGAAGTGGCAGACGCAGTTGAGCTTGAATGGGGAGGTACGCTTCCATTCACTGACGTCGACAGCGTAATCATGTCTGTAGCTGGGCGGAATTGTGGGACACTGGCATGTCCAGATGCTGACGGTGTAGCACTTTCTGTGACCAATCAGAGGGTCAGGTGGTCTGCGTGCACAGATCGACAGTTTGGAAGAGTGAATCATGTATCCACTGACTCCTGTTCATAGTGACAGTGCCAACAGCATACAGCAATTCAAACAACTGAGTGAGTTCAGCGACTCATGTTTGGAGAAATGGAGGCTTTCATTGTTGACGGGAGGAAAGCAAATGCAGGTGAAGCACCGTTGTTTGCCGACAAATCCGACAAATTGGTCAACACCAAGCCTGATACGTTTGAAAGAAGGTTTGAAGCTTCTGGTTCCAGGGAGGGCTCAGCCGATTGGCTTCAGGATTGTGTTTACCTGCGTGAGAACATCGAGCCCTTGATGCAGACGCTGGAATTGCTTGCGCCACGACATGTGATTTGGGCAAACGAGATACGAGGAGTTGAAGAGGTGGGCAGGTAAGTGCGAAGATGCTTTCTGTCAGCTTCTGCTGTATCTTCGCCACTGAGGCCAATCACTGACCCTATTGTTGAACCATTCCCTTCTGCCTCCGACTTTTTGCCTTATCCGACTTATCCCGTCTGATTCTGTAAACAGTACTTGTAGGTTCTAATTCAGCTACCGGGTACGGGAAGGGTGCCAGCGAGCCGACATCCTACTATAGGGGCGCAGAGAAAAGGGTCATTGCTGCTCATGCGGGCCGTGTGCAGAGGGGAAGGGGGAAGGGGGAAGGGAGGGACTCTGTTTCCCCTGAGGAGTTCCAGAAGCTCATGATTGACAGAGGCCGCCCAGATGCAAGCATGCAGTTTTTCAGTGTCCTGCAGTCGGTCGAACTGAAGTTTTTCGAGCAGCCGTGTCGATCCCAGGTTGGACATTTGAACAAGTACCGCTGCCACCCGAGAATGACTTTGCATGTGAAGACATACGTGTGCAGTGGATCCGATGCGCAGAGCCATCAAACACCAGCACTCTGGATGCTCGGGGTGTCCAACCAAGTAAGCTCAGAAAATCTAAAGCAGGTAGCACAATGGAAAATTGTTGTCTTTGCAGGCAAAGGCGTTTGTGTACCCTTCACAACCTTAGTCTAAGCGCTGAGGTCTTTGTCGAACCTTCGGGCACCGGTCATCCTGTTGCAGGAATACGTAGGAATCAATCGAAACAGAAACGTGACATGATCCTGTTCGTGCTCACCTCCGGTCTTGATCGATAATATTGTAAACAGTCTTATAGTGGTAATCCAAGCTTCGCCGATTGTGCAACCTTCACTGGCAGCTTTCTTTCCGAGTTCTTGCAATTCAAGCACCTTGGCTGGAAGGCTGCATTGGCCCTGGCCTGGCACCAGTCCCTGATTTGCGCAGGGTTCCGAGTCCTGGTTGCAGTTGTGTCCAGCTGGCAGGCTTCAGCCGCAGCGGTGTCAACATGATATACATGATGCCGCCTGAGAGCCAAGGCAGAGAATACAAGCTGTATTCCGAAAGGCCTGTCATGATCTGTCATGCGCGTCCGCTTTGCAAAGAAGACCATGTTTTGCACATGGCCTGACATTCGCCGCAGCAAGCAGCTTTCAAGCCGGTATCATAGCAGACAGGTGCTGAACAAAAGTACAAAATCAGGCCTGTTATCTGTAGCATGCTATGCAACAAGAGGACTCATAGCACTTGGCTTTCCTGTGGTTGAAGATGGTTGCCAGCGATGGCAACATCAAGCTGGAGAGTTCAAAAGGTCCCTGGGCAGCTTCTGCTGCTTGCAGTGCTCAGGGTCCACGGCCCCAGAACGAGGATGTGCACGTGATGATCTGTGATGGTCTGCCTGAGGGACCTGCTCCCAACATCAAGGCGGCAGGCTTGCCTGGACTCTTTGATGATCTCCCGGAGTTGGTCAGCGGACCTTCATTGCCTGCTGTGGAGAAGCCAACTTGCACAGACTGCTTGTTCGCCGTTTTTGACGGCCATGGTGGGGTCTCTGCAGCACGTGCCTGCGCAGAGCGGATTCCTACAGAGATCCGAGAGGTGGCTCGCACCAAACCAAGCGGCCATTTCAAAGCGCATAATAACTCTCTGTTAAAGAGATGATAAAAGTCCTTGCCTGGTCTCAGGAGTTGGATGCAGCGGGCAGAGATACACCGCAAGCTAGGCAAGCCGCCGTCACATACTTGGTTGTCAGCCAGTGTGTTTTGCATCGCAGCGTTGCGCTGGGCCAACCAAAGACATGAGTTGGTGCAGAGGTTGAGGGCACTTACCTTGTCGGGAGCTGAGGTGAAGGCCTAGTTTTGACGTTCATGAGCTGAAGTGTCGGAGTGTTGTAAGTTTTTGTGCCAAGGCGTTAGACCGACACCTGCGTATCAAGCTGGGACCTGCAGCCAGGGAGTGTGCCTTGTCAACTCATTCGGAATTGCTCTTGCTTTTGACACATTTCCCAAATTCCAAACATCTACTGAAGCTAAACTGCCGCCCAGAAATCGAAGCATCTGATCGACACATCTTAGAAGCGCGAACCTTTTTTTTGTTAGCGTGCTGTTGGAGAGGGTGCAGCTTACACGGAGTCAGTCATGGTTTTTTCTAGACGTCGCCCCGAAGCATTGATGCTGTCAGGTGGTACCACCTGCGTTTTTGCCTATGTCTGGAAGAAGGAGGCCTCTAACTTTGTGTGTTTGGAGGGCACCCGGGAGTGCTTTGAGGCTGCGCAGTTCACCGTTCGCAGGAAGCAGCTTCCATGTATGGCGTACTTCTCGCGAACTTGGGAGACTCGCAGCCTGATACATTTCAGCATGCCTGCGCTGTAGAAAGAGAGTGGCTGGGATCCTTTGCTAGTTTTGGCAAAAAACTGAGGCGAGGCCTGGTTCTGAGGCTTTGACGCAAAAGGTGCCGTTTCGCAAATCAAGACATAAAGCCACACATGATCATAGCACTTTAATCAGCTCAAGGAAGTCGCATAGGAATGGTGGGCCTGCAAGCAACTTGGTTGCAAGTGTCGAAAGCCGTGGCAGCATCTTGCTGTGAATTTGCTCAGGTTATGAACTTGCTGGCGAGACAAAGGACCACACACCAAGTGCGCCCGAGGAAGAGAAGCGCATTCGTGCAGCTGGCGGAAAGGCAAAGGGATGCGAATGGAAAACATTCTTGAAGCAGCAACGGAACTAAAGGAACTGCTATACCGTGAGATACCGTGAGGTGGAGGTCTTTCCTGGAAGCAAGGTGCCTGTGATGCGAGTCGATGGTGACAGCCTGAGAGCATGGAATGATGTGAATCGCTTCATCTAAATTGATCTGCCACCTGAGCCAGATTGAGCCGGATTCAGGGTTTGGACCCAAGTTGGAGGCTACCTTGGCTGCTCAAGGGCTTTGGGCGACTTTCGATTCAAGGACGCTTCGCAATGCTTCGCAATTCAAGTTCGATTCTGGCAAAGTGTGACGGTTGAGGAGGATGCAGCGCTTCTGCCAGAGCAGCAGAAGGCCTTTCGCCTCCTGAAATGCAGACTCACTGCTTGCGTTTTTGTGCTTTTGGTCAGGTTTCAGCTGTGCCAGAGGTGTACGCCTCCAATCTGCAATCTAGTCACTGCATGTCCTGTCATCCAGAGGCATTGATCCTCAGAATTTGATGACAATGCCATTGCAGGAGTTCGAGTGCCACAGCGGGGATGTGATCGTTCTGGCATGCGACGGGGTCTTCGACGTACTGAGCAGCAGCAAGGCTCGCAAAACTTCAAGCCAACTTCGAGGTCAGTATAACTGTGACAATAGTCTCAGTGCCCGTTTCAGGTGGCCGCGTTCCTTGGACAGAGAGTGGATGATGTGGGATGCTGCCGCAGACCCGTGTGATTCTTGGAGCTGATTGATAATGTGAGGCTGGTGAGCAAAGAACTCCAACAGTCGGGAGACCCTTCTGCTGCAGCAAGATCCATCGTGAAGGCGGCTTTGGCGGATCCAAGGCAGAATCTTGGTGCAAATGCTTTCATGCTTTGCAGTTTTGGTTCACGAGAGCTCCTTCCATAAGTGATCCTCCAAGCTTTGCTCAGATGCGGTCAATCCATTTTGCACACAACTGAAATATTAGCATCTGTTTGCACATTGTTATTGCGCCTCAAGACTCCTAAGGCAGGACAATGTCACGTGCGTTGTGGCTCAGATCAAGTGAGCTGTCGAGCAAACGAGAAAAAGTGCAGCGATGAGCGAGATGCTCGGCGTGTCACACCAGGCGGCAGAGTCTGAGTCCCCTGACAGGACAGGCCTCGCTTGGGAGGATGTTTGCCCACTTGATGGCAAGCATGGTCCACGAATTGCAGTCCTTCACGGCGGCTTCGATGCAACAGGAAAGGGATGCTGCAGGGTAGATCTGTATTGAAGGCAGATGACCCTTCCGCCACAAATTGCTTCGTGACATGGTGTAAGGGGTCTGCCTGCTCCAGACCTGCTGTT